GATCCAATGGCATGCGAGGAAGACAGTCAGCTGACTGGTGACAGACACGTTGAAAAAATGGTATACAAATGAGTGATGTACCAACATTCTTCATACTATTGCTCCGGTACTCTGCATAGGCAGCAGCGGATGGGTTTCGATAACTTTAGTCGGAACCACAGCCCTTTCCCTACTATGGACAACAGAGGCAATAATACTTAAACGTCGGATGCAGCTGTCATGGACGGTCCACGCTATGTTCCAAACACTAGATACATCGACATTATCTGGGATTAAGACTGTTGCATCTGAAGAGGGATTGGCAACTCAGCGACGACGCAAGGGCTGCTGTGAATTGTGTTTATACACACTGTAATCCAGTCACTCCATCCTCCGACTCAGTTTTCCCTCTTCGCAGCATGTGGCCAGCCGCACGGATCCTCAACTTACCCCTCATTCCCACGTATATTTACCCTGGATTATCCTCACACAGGTCTCGATGTTAGCGCCCGTATGAATTACACACGACACAACGTTACTAAATTGGTTGAGCTCTGAAGTAAACGCATGCATCAGGGAAGCGTAATCGAGCCAGGGTTAATTCAGTGGCCCCGTCGTGTTTCAAGACCGCATGCCGGGGGCCACAACACATATATTTACAAAGAAGTATTATTTCTAGTGGTGATTAAAAAACGCGCCGTGACTTAAATTATAAAATAAACAGATTCGTTGAAAATAAGTCTGATCATACCTTACAAGCAGCTAGATGTACGGTTTTTATTAACCAATGAGATAAGCAGACATTTCGGTGTTAATAATGCATTATTTTTCACGTTGACGGAACAGCAACTTTTCAGCTTTAACCCAGCGTGGTTCAGGACCCCATGCATGGGCCCAAAACAGGACATTAGAATCCAGTTATATGGCAAGCAGAGAAGAAACCTGAGATGACAAAGTGGAATTTCTGTAACTCAAAAGGAGCGAAATACCTCGTCTACTATTCGCTTTGGTCACTCTACTGTGTGGTATTGGGGATCGAGGATTGTCGAAGTAGGTATTTTATCATTCAAAATATGGCTGCTATTCGCCAGGCCGCAACACCGGACTAGAGCTCAGGTATTCTACACCAAGCCAAGTACGTCTTTAGTATTTAAGGGATTGATTGGCCTACATGGAAGATCAGCAGTCAACCCAAGACAAACATGGATCTGAAGCCCTATAAGTTGGGCGACGCAGTCATTAAAGTTGACTCAGATGGACAGCAACTAACGGACGTTTCGGTTTTCGTCGTTAGAACCATTCTGCTTCTACGGTGACCTTTATTCTACGGTTTAGGTATTCTGCTCAGGAAATGGCCCAATCCGTATTAGCCCATCAAATTCTCTGTCCGTGGGATGGAATGATCTGTAACCAAGGATGAATAAAAGCGCTCATATGATAAAAAGAAGATGAAAGGTCTGGGATGTATGGTGACTGTCTGAAGGTTCGGATTTCCCGAGTACTCCCCTGGAAAGTTCGCTCCTACCGGCATATCAGCTGCTAATGATATCCACATACACGCTTATGACTATGCACTCACTTATTTATGTTATTTTAGCCACGCTTGCCGCTGTTCGGTTGCTGATTTTCCACGTAATCCATTAAGACATATTGAAAGAGTATTGGCTAAGCTCAAGTCGTGATCATACATGGCTACGACCTTTTACTACGCCACCAAGCTTACATTTGAGAAGATACATGACAATTTCAGTGCTTTTGAAAAGACTAAATCGCTTTCAAGAAATTAGGGATGCTAAGACTTGAACTAATCATTGAGCTACAAATTAAGACACAATGAGCCGCTAGAAAACAATTCTTAATAGCTTTTCCCATAGACATATTTGATCGAAACGGTATTTGTTCCGAGGCAGACAACACCCACCAGATTAGATTAGTTTGTGTAGGATAATTACTGACGGTAAAAATCCTGCCAACGTGTTAAAACTCTAAAGGTTTTCGGGTTCAAAGTCATCAGATTAATCTAATCTTCCAGCAAACGTTATTCTTTATTTTCTTGATGCATGGCTAGACGGAAACAGCATCATTTTTGGTAAAAAAGGCACTTACAGCCGAGTATTCATTCGATTAATTCGAGAATTAAATAAAGACCGAAAAAACAAAAATAATCAAAGAAGAGAGGCTGTAGATTTGACGAGATGCGTTTTTTGTTATTATGACTTGCGTACTTTTTACACAAAATTTTAAAAGTGAAACAAAGAGATGCTGTTTATGTACAAATCACGAAGTAAAGAGATAAAGCAAAGGCATGCAAATTTCTGTTGAAATAAGCTGGATCAATGCAATTTAAAAAGAAGAAAGTGGCGCACTGGAAGTCAGAGGATTTAATGCAATCACAGTTCAGCGATCTGCAACTAAAAATCAAATAAGTAAATTAGATTATTACAAGTAATGAACGGCACTCTTGTTGAGATTCTACATGCATTCAAGGGAGTAATTTCTTAAAAAACCCTTCCATCTCAATGTTGAAAAACGATAAATCAAAACATAGCAGATTTGCTATTGCAAACTGTTTTCAAGGTTAAGACTTGCGAATTTTACTCACAAAGCCAGTTAATAAAACAAATATTTAGCCCGGAAATCATCACAATATACTTCCTAATTCCTAATTTTGTAGTCAGTGCGTAATCAATGACAGTCTACATTCCGTAGGGGAAATTCCGAAGTATCACAGTCTATTCAAGTAGGCTGCCATCCTTTTTTAAATTTAGTCAGGTAACGTTAATTTGAGTTGAGGAATCTCAAATTGTAAAGCTGGTATGGAAAAATCGCACTATCCCAACAAAATAGGTCAAAATGTGGGGTCTCCATTTACTATGGATGGGTCGTGACCACGTTACCCATGTAACACAAAGATACTACGGTGATGAACGCTAAAATACACCCACCTGTTCGCTGTCAACTTCCACATTAGAGTGAAATACTCTAGGGTTCGCACCATTTCGCTCCAGAGAGGGAGTTTGTTCGCGCTCCAAATGCACCTGTGGAGACTCCTGGGCGGAAATCTTGGTGGCGCTTGGACTACACGAGAGACGCGGATGATCAGCGGCTGTGCGCCTGTGTACATGGTGGGAAAGGCGCTGGTTGGAAAGTGCGCTGTGGCCCGAAACAGACCGCTTTTGGACTCCACCGACAGTCCTCTTCGCTGAAACTGGACGCGATTTGCTCCGACTAACTGATTTACCTAAAATGTGCAGGCGAATAACAGTTTAGCACTTTGCTTCACAAATCAAAGACTCTGTTATGAATCGATCCACTTCCGACAGAGTTCCCTTTTCGCAGCATGTTGTCAGCCGCGCGGATCCTCAACCCCCCCTTCATTCACACTATTTATCTTGGATTACCCTCACACATAGGTCGCGATGTTAGCACATGTATGACTCACACATCCGAGGTATAAATATACACGCGCAAACCCCACACACGACACAACGACACCAGTTTTGGTTGAGCTCTGAAGTACACGATTGTGTCCCGTCCTCTCCAGTCTTTTCCTTCATCGCGGACATCAGGCAAGCGTAATCGGGCCAGGGTTAATTCCGTGGCCCCGGCGTGGTTCATGACCACTTGCAGGGGCCCACAACAATTGGTGACCCCGACGACAACAACTCCATGAGATAACCTAATTGGAAGAAAGTGAGCAAACAAATTCGACTTTATTCTGCACTGAAACATGAATAACGCGTGGGAGAGAGGAAAGAAACATGAGTTTTGTTGGTGTTTACTACACAGTCAGCGTTCTTCGTCAACCAAGGAGTCTACGACGGCCATGTTTTTGCCAATCAAAAACTGTAGCAAATATGCACTTGACTATTAAACGAGGATGATGAATAATTCGAGCATAAAAATAACACGGCGGTAACAGTACAAAATACATGAGAGGAGTCTAAAAACCAATAACTGAACAAGCCGAACGACTTAGTCGTTTAGTAAAGCGCATAGAATCCATTACAAGGCACAAATAACAAACATGTACTGTCACACTCAATGAGCATGTTGAGCTAATCGGGGTTAAATTCTGTGCTTTAGAAAGCATAACAAAATTAAGTATTTGACAACAAGTCTTTTGAAGATCCAGGATTCCCCGAGATGGCTCATCGCCCTAACCACGCACGTCATCCTTCTGACAACCACATCCGAGTTAATCTGCTTCCATGCATCAGGTCAAGGTCACCCTTGACTTATATAAGCGTTGACATTCCGACAGAGCACATACACTTTTGCTGACACGATTAAAGCTCTCTACACGAGCTCTGATCTTGTTCTTGCATTAGCGTGGGAGGGTCGGTTCTAGCGTCAAGAAGGGATGTGGTGCCGTTATTTGAGTGATTTTCTCCTGGTTATGGGCAAACGTAACAAAGTCGCATTAAGTTGTGACTAAAAACGTGAATGTCTGATACGCACTTGAAAAAAAAAACATGCAGCATTACCACTGTTGTGACACAAGATAACTCACGCAAGAGATTAAAAGGACACGTCGGGTTGTCTGCCCACTAGGCAGTGTGGCCTACGTGGTTGTGAACACTGACCTACAGTCACAGCGCGTCCACGATGGGTTTGCCAATTTGCTAAAATTACATCACCACTGGAGGCATGAAGACTAAAAAGGGGTTTGTAAGATGCAGGCACTACGAGAGGAAATCCAATTTGAGCGCATAAAATAAGTGGAGCAAGTTAGAGTGTTGAACGCGATGGGGGAGCTAAGGCATAAAAAACCAGTAATGTGTGATGAATTCAAAAAGGACTGATATTTGTGACGCGTTTCGAAGCCTTCTAATCAAAGAACATGAGACAGTGGAAAAAGTCATTAATAACCCATATAGTGAGTAGGTGCATAACAGGGAAAAACCAGGAAATTAAAATGACAGAACGCAAAATTACATAAAAGAACGACATCACTGACGAAAAAAACGAGTAAAATGATTGACAAGATTTGGTGCAGGTAAAAATTCCTCAGACGTGAATCAGTCGAATTTGCAATTAACACAAGTAAGTGAGAGAGACGTACGGGTTCGGCGTGACGCGCCCACACGACTTCGCCAGGACTCCTCCGCCTCGACGGCTTCAACAAGCATCGAGGGGAACACGCCACGGGCAATGCGATTGTCGGTGCCGTCGATGTTGCTAGAGGTGGGGACCACTTCGCCCTCGATCCACCCATCGTCAACTTCGCCGGTGGCAGGGCGTCCGAGCACGTGGATCACGTCGCCAACGCGAAAGCTAAGCTCGTCGTCCGCTGTCCCCTCAAAATCAATCAATGCACGCACAAACTGGCCCGCCATACACTGTGACATCGGAGGGTCTCAAATGAAAACAGGGTTAAATTTAAAAACCATGCAAAAATATCCACTAACCAAGTGAAACAAACAGGTTACTGGCCATGTGCAAGCATTAGCAACATGTGAATATAAAGTGAAAACGATCAACTGTCAGAACAATACCGGAAAAATTATATCACATCTTACGGAAATAATACTGATAGGAAATTCAATGAATGCTTAAAGGCACTTCAAAAGTGCTAGAGGAAAAAGATGAGGCGAGTCCGTAACTTGGAGATTTAGGAACTACATTAATGGATCGTTGGTATCCAAATACGACAGAATACGTGGTCAAGGCTGCAACAGTCGAAAAAAGGTCTGTCGAATGAAGCAATCGAATTATACGAGACTTGCTCGACACTGCCTAGAATGCAACCGATTGTGAGAAAAACCTTGAAACTTGCAGCGTGCAAACAAATCCCTTGAGGGTGAGTTATTCGCGTTTAGAGGGGAGCAGACACACTCACGAGAGGACACAGCTGCGGTTGGTGGGGCTGAAGCCTCAGACACACGTCCACTGGTAATGGAGGCAGGTGGAGGGGGAAGTGAAGGCTCATGTTCAGTCGAAGTCGTGGCTGTCAGCGCTGACACGGTAGTGGGGTGAGGGGGAGCCAGTGGCGGAGTCGGATCAATCGATAAAAATGCGCGTGGAACCAGGCCCTCTTTTCCGTCCAAGAGGCTACGGACCTGCAGAGATGTTTAGCAAGCACTTACGTTGGTGAGGGGAATTGTTTAACTCCAGTTTTATTACCTTCTAGCAAACATATAATTGTTTTTTCCTATGTGTATTGATGTGTAAACAATCTTAGTGCTTGGGTGGTCTTATTAAAACACATCCGAGCCCATAAATAGCAAAGCAGATTATTCTAGGCTAATTTAAATAAAAACAATTCAATTAAACAATGCACAAAGTTACTTCGTAGTAACGATTAGTTAAAGCAAAGTTCGTGAACTAAAAGAAGCCCTTTCCACGCAGAAATCACTGATGGGGCAAACGCGATTTGTCGCTGAGGCCTCAAGGTGTCGTCTGGTGCGCTGCACATCCTCCACGGCGCGAAGGGAATGCAAGAAGTATCGTTTTGCATCGGGACAATAAAAAAGAGGCAGCTGACAACCACTACGCAAAATCTGTGACGGGTAAAAATACAAAGTGGCGGAGCGATCTCAAAGGTGACGATGGAATCCCAGTGCCGAAAAGGGCATGACGGGGGCTCATTAGAGGGGCAAATTTTGACCGTTGCTAAATTCGCTCTCTGTAGTCGGGCCATATTTCGACAAAACAAATGTGAATTCGTCATCAATGCATTACAAACATTGTAAGTTAATTGGTACGACTATACATATGACTGTTCAATCTCTGGTAATTGGGAAGAGTTGAATAACTAAGTGAATTCTGCTAAGCAAAAAACACTGACAATTAAAGTGCAATATAACCTATGGAAACCGAAAAACAAGAGCTGCTGAGATCGTTTTAAGGTAAAAGCTGGAGTCTTGAAACATCTGAAAAAAGAGAGAACAGACAACACACAAATGAATAACCACAGTCCAAGTTCACTTCTGTGAACTAATCGCAAATTGAATGAGTACCTACCTTCACCCAATCTTCACCGTCCCCTGTTCCAAGCAAGACGACCTTCTCATTACACACAAGATTGACTTCATCGTCACGTGATGCGAGGAACTCATACATCGCCGTGGCCTTGGGCAACCGGCCGCCACCCGACCAGTCGACTTCAGGCGAGGGGTCTCTTGGCTGCTTTCTGCTTGATGAGTCCTCGTCATCTAATTGGATGAATGAGTGCTCATAGTCCGTCGCTGAAGTCAAGAAAGTGTGGGCAAGTGCAATACCCAAGAAAAAAGGGCACTGGTGACTGATTAGTTCAGTTAATCTACCGCAGAGAAAACCAGGGTGTTTGTTAGCCAAACGGTTGCACAAATTGCGTTACGAAGGCAGTGCGGCTGTACGGTGCACTCTGGAGTAAGCACCCCGGAATACGGGCTTGCACAGAGGATAGCCGTTTGCCGGTTGCTTTGTGGTGATAGGGATAAGCAGATGAACAAAATTTCCTTTCTGCAATTCTGAAGAGCGCGCATAAATTACCCCATTCCCTTCTATGGCGTTGTAATTCAAACTGCTACAACCGAAAGACGCATTGTGAAACCTAGATACTGCGCAAATCGCAATGGACGAGAGAGTGCCATCAGCTTCATACCCCAAAGACGCATGGCATGCAAGAAAGACGACTATCAAAAAAACTGAAATTGGCGATAGTTGTGACACGGGAGCAGTTTAACCGCAAAGGGGTCGCTAGTTATTGAAATGACGTCTACAAAAGTTAGCAGTCAACAGCAATTAGTCATTATGTGAAATAATTGTCTCAAAGTAACTTCCCAACAGATAAATACTGGTGAGCTAATTAGTGAGTTAGGCTAACCTTGAACAATATGACCAAACCACACAAAATGGCCAATTGTAAGCAAACGTGTGGGTAAGACAGTCTAGAAAAGCACAAAGTGGTGAACATGTCATCCACGACAGCCATACTTAAGTCTGTGCAATGTTGAGGGGAGAATGAAAAAACAACAAGTAGGATGGGAACGAACTCAGTTTGAATTTGTGGAAAACAAACAAGAAACAACCTATGTGGCAAGTGGAAGACATTCGTAAAAAAAAGACCTTTGCTAACATACTAGTTTCAATATCACGCCTGTCATGGTTAGGTCAAATTTGCCAGAAATACTTAATAAAAGGGTACTTTAAAAGACCATAAAAACATAACGAAGTGCAGATACGCAAAATTAAAGAAGCCTGTGCATAGTGTCGACAATTTCGCTTTTAAGTAGACTAAGGGTAATGGAAAATCCGAAATCGCAATTTTCGGGGAGGCGATTAAACATAGGGAATACGCTTTAGACATCGTGAACCTTATACTCGTACACTACCCGAAGTGAAATGCACATGAATATAACTAGACAGGAATTTGGTAAGTGGAAAATTCGGTGTAAAGGACGGCTGTTGAAGCAATCCTGTCTTTGGTTATACTGAGGCAAAAGTGAAAGCAACTTGATTGTAAATACACACAAAATGTTGGCACAGGAAATCGGTAGTGACACACCCTGAAAAGTGTTTTTTTTTCCTGAGAAAACGAAATGCCCTGATGTTCAGGTTATCTTATTGAGATCAACTAAACATGTGATTGTTTATTTTGTTGCCGAGCTGTGGCGACGTTCGAATGTTATGCTTATTTCCACAATTTTCTTATATTTCATAGAAGCAGCAAGATCAAATGATGAAGACTTAGAAGATGGAAGCAGTGAGTGGCAGAAATAAGACCAACCTAGAGGGTCGATTTCGCGGGCTCCGATGGGACAGAAAAAGGCGTGAGCTCTACGGATTTTCGGTTTAAAAATATTTAGAAAAGGCTTGCACAGCAATTCAACTAACAATTTAATGGCTTAAAAAGTCCTGATAAGTGACCATACGTACCCCGAGCCCACGCTTCGTTCGCAGTTTGATGAGCAGAGATTCGGCGTATGCAATCTTGCTAAAGTAAAAAAAACAAGTATAAAGAAGCTACTTGGTCAACAATCACACGAAGAATGATAGGAAATTGGTGACTTGTTGTGATTACGTTCGCGACTGAATACGACATTTTCAGCCACACAGTTTATGCGTAAAATTTACTGAATGTGCACGTTTTGACTCTGCGCATAATTGGAGGTTTGGGCAAAAAAGGAGCAAAAAGAAACTAGGCACAGAGAATAATCTAAATTCCACCACAGAACTAATTGTAGTTGGAGTTGAACCAGGGGATCTGGTAAAAAAATCTACGACCAACTGAAAGTTGTGACTACGGATAAATGCCACCTAAGTGGCTAGGACTTTAACAAACGAGGATGACGCGCCAGTGGCTCACTGGTGCTTCATATGTCACTTTCTACCAAGACTAGAAATTACATTTTCGTTTAATAGAAATTTCCACTGGGTATGTTCGATCCCTTTGAAATAAAGACAATGGAAATTATGACTTTAAAATCGGTGGTGACGAACTGAGCATTTCCACAAATGACTGTGCGAAGAATTATCGAGAACGACAACGTCCACCGGTTTGATATGCTAAGACCATTGACGCAATAAAGAACACCAAAGCGCACGTCATTTCCAACATTAATAACGTCAAACAAAATGCTTCAAATTTAGAAAACCGACTTTTTCGAGACCAATAAAAAAATTGGCATGATAACGTCACGCGTGAGTCAAGACCTTGGTGCCATTATCACGGGCTACACAAGGTACGGAATTCAGCTTGGTATCAAATGGGCACATGGCAGGTGCAGGTGATGAGGTTTGCACGACCCAACCCGACCATCACGCTACAGACCGGCGCAGATGCATAGGCAAGGATTGCACCGCGCAAACGTTAAAAGTAATCAGGGGTGTGTGTGCTTAAGATTTGGCTGTTGGAACTGCTGATGAGCATTCAATTCGAGGACACGCAGGCGTCACACAATTCACTGACTAACTACTTTTTTCACTATGCTATACTATGGAAAAAAGGGATTAGTTCGATATCTGTGCCATGCTCAAAATGGAGGTGCGCATCATCACAACTGCACTTTAAAGCTGCTCGATTTTCGCGCAATTCAAGTCACGGAACTTTGTACTTGGTGTTCACTGAGAAAGTAGGAAACAGAGCATTAATCGAACAGCACAAAAATAGACACGGAGTGAAGTGACATGAAGGAAAATGTAAAAAATTTTCATACGCCTAAATCTGCAAGCAAAATTTATGCGATGATATTTTGGCCTGCTTTAAAATAACCATGAATTCGATAGTTTTATTTCAGTTATTGAAAGATCTTTCTAAGCATGGTGCTTTGTCGAAATCGCTAGCGATGAAGTTATCCACTCTGGGCCAAATTAAGGTCGGGTCAAATTCACCGAGGCAATTATGCAACATGGACTGCGCATACAATGATACATACACAACCACACACACACATATGCACGTGGTTGGTGCGAAACACACGTTCTGGTAGTTTACGCCCAGCGTTTGTGTTAATAAGACCGCCATGCTGCACCACAGTTGAAACGTGAACACTGCGAATCCATTTTAGAAGGCAACTTGAGATTTCTCAGATTTCAGATAAACTCAGTCTTTTGCGACCTACACTACGTTTCGATGAATGTGGCTACTAGAGCCAGAATTTGGTTTATTTCAATAGCAATAGCAAAACGAACCTGGAACAATGACAATTCAAAAATAAAGTAATGCCATTATGCACTAGTGTCTGTCAGCGTTGAAGCTTCATTTTACTAATTTTTGCTACTATGCGGTTAAAAACGAAAACAACAAAAGCCCAAATCCCTCATCCAGTTACTCGGCGAGTTAGGACATTAAAAAGAGACGCCATAATGAACAATCCATGTTCGACGTCTGAGTAATGACGTGACACCATGCAGTTACTTTGGTGAAGGAGCAGTGCAAATAACGGAGACGAAAAAGGTTCGCCTTCTTAAATTTTGACTTGTAAATCTCGACAACCTTTTTACCTCGTCTACATCGGGGTCCCACGCTACACTTTTGAAGATTGGATTCATCAGAAATTAACTGCATACAGATCATGGTTTTGTATTATTAAATATGTTGACTTGTGGGCAGACGTTGGAACTGCGTGGTCGATTGTACAACGCTTGGGAGACTGGTTTTGATACATCAACAGATGCTGCGAAATGGAGATTTCCATTAAATAAACCAGGGAACTGTGGTTTGCCACATATGCTGACCATTCAAACCATAAAATTACAATGCCCATACTTACATAGCTCTTCACAGACCGCCTTTGGCTAATTTTGTCAAATAAAAATATTACTAAAGTGAATCCCTTTTTTACCATGCCAATGTCATATTAAATCGGTGAAAAAGTGCTGTCGTGAGTTCGACACAATTCAAAATACACACAAATTAACAACCACCCAATCATTGCTGGGCCTTGTGTGCATATGGGAAAGTAGCTCAAGCACTTTGAACCCAAGAATCCACCGCTGCTTAAACCTTGTAGACGTTTACATCGACTAGTTAGAAGACAGGGAGAGTTCAACCTCAACAATTTGCAGACAGTTATAAGGTTAATGTCACAAGAGCAGATCGCATTAGCGAGTACAATGACTGAGACCAGTGATCGATTTCTTCGGTTCTCGTGCACAAGGAAGCAATGCCGAAAATACGGAAACGGAATTAACAATTAAAAAAGCCAGCCCGGCGGCCCCAAAACCAATAATGAGACCTACTGCAAAAACAAACCAACAAAGGCGCAGGTGGGACGACAAGACGCAGCCTAGAGAATTAGGTAAACGAGCCATGAACGACAAAGCATAAGAGACCAAAGGTTCCCAGTGCATGCGCTACTGTACGAATAGTCACTCAAGCGCACTTGACAACGAATACCCACGACGACAACATCGATTTCAGCGACACTGCCTCAATTTGGGCTACGGTCAAGCCAATACATACAGGTTGCAGCTGCTACGCAAAGACTCGGTATCGTCCTCCCATTAGCTGTTCGCTAGGGTTTAAGAGCAAAACTAACTGTTTGATTTTCTGAAGAAGCGGGACCCGCAAATGGATCACCAAGGAGGGAGTTCCTCCGTTGACTTAAGTCACTCATCGCCAAGACTCCAACGGTGCTGCCTTCAGCCGAACTACTACCCGTTGCGGCTGTTGAACTCGAAAGAGGGCCGGTGGTCGAACCAGAACTGGCTACATTTTGAGGTTTCTCAGAGGTAAGAGTGGCGGCCTCTGCAGCTGCCGCTAAGTAGGCCTCATCAAGGGCTGCCTGGACGTTAACTATAAGGACAAGCAGAAGTTGTTGGTGGTTGCACGAAAACGCCGGTAAAAATTAGGCAAGGTCTACCGAAAGACACAACATGTGATAAAGTTGATTCGAACAAAACAAAGTGGAGTTGATATAAACCACAACTCGGAGGATGCTAGGACACATAGTCCGGATAATGGATTCGCTATGAACACTTTCAACATCTTAATTCTAATCACACGAGGCAGAAAATGAAAACAAGGGAAAATCCTATGGAATGAAACTTTGATCATGAGAAACTAACCATGCGTTTTCTTTAACAGGTCCAAACAAGCTTTTACTTTTGCCTTCTCGATCTACAAATAGGAAACAAGATTCAGAAAAAGGTGAATTCCTGTGGTCATCAAGACACAAAAAGTTGTCATTAAAACTAGTTGCTTCCTAACAGCGCTTGGTCGTGTTGAAAGCTGATAATGAGTTCGGTCCAAATGGCTACGCAAGGGGATAATTGGACTTCCTGTTTAGAAATATTCAGGTGAATTACTGACAGCGGATTACAAAAAACAATGTATAACGTATGACATTTCCAAAGTCGACCACACACAATAGGACGACGTCGAGAATATGGGAAGGAGAGAAGGTCGTCATTGGTCCAAACGACAAGTATGAGAGCATCCAAACATGAAGAATCTGTGGTTTTATTTGCAGCTGTATTTCAGGCAAGTAATGGTTAACAGTGAAAACGTAGCACAAAAGAGAAACAATAAGTGGAACTGACTGTAAAATGAATCAAAAACGCATTAAAATTCGTAATAGCACAACATTTTTGACGCTTCAAGTTCCGCAGCGAAGCAGCACGCAACACAGCGGATTCATGTCTCCTAATCTAAACACGAAGCCAGTATTATCAGTGGGAGTAAATCAGCTCATTAAGAAGTCAATTCTCAAAAAAACCAACTTTGATGAAAATGCAAGACAGATTTGCAACTCCGATGAGTCGAAAGCATTTACCTCAAGAGTGGACTAAAATTTCGAATTCTTTGAACCCCAGTACTTAGAACATATAGTCAGAGCTGATTAAGTAGTATAATCCGTCGATTACACCTGGGATGTACTTTTGAACGAGATGGACTTCACGAAGTTACACTTTCAACTCAATGGGCACAAGGAATGTTTAAAATCAGAGCAGTTAAATCTGGCTATCATCTTACCTCTTCCCGTCGAATGGCAAATTCCAATTCTTCTACTTTGTTTTCCACGTACTCTTGATTGAAAGCCCCGACAACCTCGCCAGCATCGTAGTCCTAAAATGGCCCAAACACCCCCGTACAAGTGACTTATCGGACTTTGAGTTTGGGTTTTTCGAAAGCGAAAGGAGCGAACGATAAAACGAAACAGGCGCCTAATCGCTATGCAAAATGGTATCTGTGGCGGCACAAGAAAGTCAAAGTAACAGCAAAAGGAAAAAGCAACATTTGTGGTAAGTAAACTGCTAGGAAACCTTAGCAATTATTGCTGCACAAGTTAAATCTTTTCTTAGGAAAATACTATTGACATAATTTGTGCCAATCGGCGTGAAAACCAACGATTTCTCAAGGATCTATGCAAATTAGGGAATTTAACTCATGTTTAATCAACAAAAAAGAAATCAGTCATGCGGTTCACACAAGTTTACGAGGGGTTGGTGGGATGAGGCCATCCATTGGGAATTATAGCAATTCAGAGAAATGCACTTTTCCTTAAGTTTTAAAAGGCAAACTAAGACTGTTTTCTTTCGATGAGGCAGTTTTAGAGGCAAACAATGAGTGAGGGGAAAGCCAATGAGTGCGTTGAGTGGACAGGAAGTGTGTTGGGGGGGAGGTGAAAGGAAATCGATGAGGACTAACCTTGAGGGAGAATTTTCGCGGTTGTGATTGCTTCAACGGGAAGGACAAACACAGAAATCAAATATTAAAGACAAGGATAGAAGGGTAATGAAACAACTGTTTGCGTAATCGTGTGAACTTAAAGACCGAATTAGGTACTCATTAATTTACACAAAACACACGAATATTTGGGCGAATTATTCTGAAGGGCATACCGGCGATTGCCACAATCCGGGTGTCGTGAAAAGGCGCAACAACGAACCACAATTTCAAATCAAGCCCTACACATGCTCCATGGAATAACCTGAAAAAGCCCAGCAAAGAGGGGACAAAGCTAATTGACTCTGATGACTTAATGCTTTCAAGGCCTGACAGTGCCGAGTATAATGACGTGGAGACCAGAGTGAATGAAGAGCTGGCTTTAAGTGATGACCCAATCAAACCAAAAAAAAGTCAGTCTCAAAAACACGCACGACAGATGACATTTCGATTTCGCCAAAAATTAGCCGAAACCCCCAAAAACACTGAATGAAATTAGGCGCTTCGGACCAGCGCGTACAAGCTTTTGTCAATAGCGAAAAGAAAACCACCTAAACCCCATGAAATGGAGCTTGAGAGAAAGATAAAAACACTATGAGGCTTAGAAACCATTGGTTTTAAAGCACACTGCGATTCCTAGGGTTGCATCGGCAAGAACGCATCAAACTGAAATTCCTCAAAACTGGGAAAAGTCGGATGTTGATTAAAACATCCAGCTTGAAAATTTAGCATGCCGTTTATCTGCATCTGTCCCTTCGCCACTTTACTAGTTTCGTGAGGACTAGTTTGCTGCTGGAAAAAATATCATAATTAATTATTTTTGGGATAAATCAAAAACGTTTCTGTAATACTGTTAAGGAACATTGTCATCCGATGTCTTTGATGTTTTAGACATAAGGGACATCGATGTTTACCTGAACGAGGGAACCAAGGTTCCGGCAAACAAGCAATATTTGCACAGGCAGTTAGGTAAAGTTTATTCAGCCATGAATATATATCAGAGAAATAAATTTGACTAAAGAAGACTTGGAAAAAAATTTCGATGAAAGGAAATGCAGCCGTACTTGACTAAGAGGAACGGACATGCCAGGAGAGGGACTAATTCGCCCGGAGCAGAGATCGCTGATCTCCTCGCGGTAGGACTTGATTCGTCGTTCTCGCATAACGAACCGGCGTGCCAGCTTCTTGGCAACCTGCTCAAAACTACCTTCAGTTGCGTTGACAGAGAGCAGAGTTGAAATCTGAAGGCAACAAAAGTAACGACACATCCACACAGAATCAGTGCCCATCTGACAAGCTGGTTCGGAGATGGACTTCTCACAACACGGACTAACACACGCAAGACATTCATTTATAAACATTTGAGCACAACTATTGTGGATTGTCTTGGGTGTTTTCACATGTACACTGCCTAGGGATTTGATGAACGTTCAAGTCTTCGCACAAGCCTGTGGGTCTCCCAGATGGACGCATGCTGCTGACATTATGGTTCTGTCGAAGGGAAGACACATGATGGAACTAGGCATGAAGTAAAATACTCGGGCTAAATATTCGCACCTGGAAATGCTACTGATGCACCACAGTCAACCAGGCCGCCCTTTGTACCTCTGGAGCACCACTCGCTTTCCCAACAGAGTGGTGTACAGAAGGTCGTGTTCTGCCAAGACCCTCCTCACCCAAAACAATGCTTTGGGCACAAAAGTATGCATTCTTGGGAATTCGCACGGATGACCATTAGGCATAGCCAGACACCGCCCTCAAGGTTTTGTCATGGCCGTTTCGACAGTGACGTCTACCAGGAAATACAGCAACACTAACAACTATTCACAGGTCACATGAGCACAGCCGTCACCCGAATTTGTCTTAACTTCCTGATGATGCACTGGCCCATGCATCGAAACACGCAAGCACCACGCAATCAAGTCCTGTCTCCGAGCAACATCTGCATCACAGGTTCCGGGACCCTTCCCCCTTCTGATCCCGACAATCGATTCCCACCATAACATTTTAAAGTTACCACTTACGAAAGCTAACTATCTACAATCTAGTGCAGACTCCACTCACGCTCACATCAGTTCGTTCATCAAAGTGAGCGAACCGCGCACTTGACAAAGTCGACTGTTACCTTACCACATCCACCAAGTCGTCTTCGTCAGATACCTCAACGTAGGTTTTTCTTTTACAAATACCGATTACAGTTCTGATTACTTTTAAATCGATTTCTAAAAGTTAATAATTTCTTCTCAATCAAACTGGTTTAATTTTGCGTTTATGTAAAATTGACACTGACATTTAATTACGTGAGAACGAGCAAATACCTCAACCCAACACCTTATTTACCTGGAACGACGACCAAATCTATGCCATTTTGGGCAAGAAATCGACATGAAACAGTGATTAAAAAAACGGGTCGTTTATAACGTAAAGAAACCTACCATGTCACCCTCTCGAGGTTCGAATTGAAATTCGACATCTTCAGAAAAAACTGGTGACTCCTTAATGAATTGTTCCCATGCGGTGGATCGGTTTATCTAAAATAAGAATGCCCACAACTGATTGACATGGAATTTTGGGGAATTCATTGATATATCCGATTAAGCCAGCCACTTCGTAATACCCGAACAAATTCCCTTAAGTGAGATCATCTAGGTGTAATAGGCTGCAGTACGGTGTAATTAAAAATAACAAATAAATTTAGACTAGCCGTGGTCGATTAACAGACACGTTAAAATCCAGCCAAACTTTGAGTCCAACAAAGTTAACATCAGTCAATTATGACATTAATTTGTCCAAATCGGAAAGTAAAGCCAAAAACAACGAAAATGAGGTGATGTATGTGCGAAATCCTATTCGATAATAAGACAGCGGGCCAGCTTGTGAGCAACGGTAGTGTCTCTGCAAAACCACAAGTTCGTTTAGAGTTTACTGAATCAACAGGCTTAGAATCAGAATACGCAATCTCTTTAAAAAAGTCGTTGAATACGCATGGCACTAAAAAACTACCTTCAAATAGAAGAGTAAACAACAGTGCTGAGATTTTTACAGTCGAATAATCTGCGCGGTTAGTAATTCCAGTAGTTTTATAGCTACATGTTGGCTCATTCAATCCCGTTACAGACATTGTCTTTCAGCATTCTTTAAAATACGAACGTTTCAAGACTCCTCTAAAGGCGCCAGTGATCCTGTTATCTCGATCACGCACACTAAGTAGCGTGTTCTTTCACCGCCATGTGTTATGCACCTTAAGTGAAGTCAAGGTCGCCCACGGGATATACTGGTGGCAGTGTTTGGTCTTATAACACGGAATTTGGCTGAGACAGTAAATGCTCTCTGTATGAGGCCATGTCTTCGTTTACGAATTAGGAAAGTGGTAGCTTGCGTTAGCCAAAGAATTTTTATAATGGTTCTCTAGGAGTGTGTTTTCGATCACTACAAGCTGTTGGTAAGGTGAGGAACAAAATCGCATATTTTATCAAGTGAATAGTACTGGTTCGTTGAAAGGCATTTAGACGACTTTCAAGAGCAACGAGTACTGATGGAAGAAAATAATCAAGGGAAAGTATCTTCCGAGTCACATACTTTCGTCGATTCTTCCAAAAGAGCCTTGAATGGATCGTGATGATGGCGACAAATCTCAAGTTCAGTTTCACTTGTCTTTGAGAGAACCTCGCGAAACCGATCGTAGACGTCGCCGTCTAGTACCTATCGAGAGAGGCAATTAGCTTATGCCTAAATGTGGCATCAGGATGAAAATAGAGCAAAATTTACAGAAGAGCGCCCAACAGAAAAGTAACTCAAATATGCTAGTACTTCAATTTCTAGGCAACACGTCAAAGCAACCATCTTGTTAAACTTAGGCATTACAATCAAATAACATAATAAAGGCTGCAATTTATGGGAAATATTGACGTTTAATCAAACTAGGTTCTTGCAAATCCCAATAATAACACTTTGCTGATGACCTGCTAACATTCTTTGACCAAACGATCGGCCTCTTGCACAATTTCAGGAATGTATTGCTGAGAAACAACTTTGGTGACTTCACCTCAAGAAAATTTGAAGCAATGCGTTGATCAAATTTATAAATCTAGGAGGAGGAGGTGGCAGAAATCCCTGCCTAGGAGCCAATATTTATGTTATATTTAGTGTTATTGATAGTACGGTTTGGTAACAGCGATTCAAGGATAGAAAACACAACTTTATTCCTCCTGCACAGTCTGAAAAGCACTTTGGCAAATAACCCGTTTACGTTCTGATCAAGCCAAAAAGCGCAATCAAGACTACGGCCAATTAGATACATTTATCGGAATAAGGACAGTGTTTCCCCCGGGCAATATACTATTGAGCAAATGTTTCTCAAATAATTGAAGTTGTTAGGAAATCGAAAAGTTGTAAAATTTTAGGAATTCACCGGACACGTTTTAAATAAATCAGACAAGTGAGGAAGATCTAATCAAGGATAACATAGGGAGAACGTCGAGACCATTTAATCACAAAGAAGGTAAAAACAATAGATATATTACCAGTTTGAAAAATTCAATAAGTGATACATAGAATGCTAGGGCTCTAGGCAGTCGTAATTGCCAATAAGAGCCTGTTAAACATAATCTTACCTGTGCAAGGTCAGGAATATCCGTCTTTAAATAATGAACAAGGTGTGCATTTATCGCAGTTAGCTGAAAAATGTATTCATTGCGAGCCCCAGCAGATCGGTTTTCACACTCTTCTCGCCTCAAAGAAAGCTAAAAGACAAGGATTATCGGTAAATAAGACGTTGCATCAGGATTGATTAATTAGAGGGGTTGAGGTGCCAACACGGCAAAACAAAAATGAGTGTACATAAAGTGATTAAACAATCATAATTCTGTCATTGTATCACTACGCGTAATTTAAATGAATCGATTGGCTAGCGTAAATATCTTTAATGTGGCGTACCACAAATTTTGTTCTTACATCGTTTAATATTATAATGTAGCAGCCTACCTTGGCATGGTTCCGGTGCAGCTGAGCCATTGTGCTGAAAAGGTTCGTAGAACGACGACGCAACCTCTCCTCGATATGCATGGCCTTTAGTCTAGTCTCATGGGCCTGCTTTTCCTCCTCAGAGTAAATTTTTTGAGATTTTACCATTTCCTGCATTGATGCCGCCAAATCATTCTAATGCAAAGTGATAATTATGAAACAAAACGTAGCACTCGATGAAGTGTATTAATTTGTAAATCAGCCAATATGCCATTCAATTTTCGACTAATTCTTTGAAATTACACACTAGAATGGCAATGCGAAAATCGTGACAAAATTAATTGCAGCCTTAGAATAAGAGGCTCGAAGAACTTGCTTAACCGAAAGTTGAAGCATGTTATTCTACCAAAGTGAAAAATCTGTGCCTAAACTCAATTCATTTAGAACATTACTACTTAGAGACGTTATTTTATAAGACTTTGAACACATCGTAGGCATAAAAAAATTATGACAATAAATTCAGCAGATAAAGATTTCGAACGGACCTGCAGAAATTTCAGTTGGTCGAACATCCGCTTCGATACGCTTATCCGTACAGACTTTACGGGCTTTAAATCTAAGCTAAGACGATGATGAACCTCAGCCGACTTTAAATGAGACAAAGCGAGGTCGCTACACTGGCGTAAAAATGATTTCCACACGTCCCACACGGACCGGTGTCTATAAAAAAGGTTTCGAAAAAGACTTTTATTTACACCACATCTGGTGGGTTACGCAAGGCCAAAAATTCCTTCTTGCTTAAAAAAGAAGAGCATAGTTTTTGCAGAGACTGTCCGTATTCTTTCTCAAGAATAGCACGTTGCTTACAGAAGCTCCTAAAAATTTCAGTTTGAGTCGTCTTTACCTCATGTCTTCAAGTAACTCAGTTTCACTATTTTGTTTAGATAGGAGTTTAGAAAAATGCTCGGACTGAATGTGCTTTAGTCGTCCTTGAGGCTACAAAATTAAACACCTTAAATAATTACCTTTTTCAATGAGGCCTGCATATTGAACCACTCACACCTAGTTACCCAATAGAATACAGGTCCAGATTCTTGTCTCCAGCGCTTTTCTTCGAAACGGGTTAAACAACAATGATATTGTTAAATCATATTTCCTAAAAAAAAGGAGAAACTTCTAACAATTTTTAACAAATAATATTATTAAAATGGCATATGTATTGCTCCCTAGACAATAACACAGATAGCAAAGTTTGGACGGCTGAAAGAAGTCAAGAAAACAAAGAAGATTAAATGCTTTTTATTCCTACCAGTAAAACATGGTACATCATGTAGAGGGCTTTATTTGCCCGTTTCACAAACACATTGGCCTCTTGCATAAATATCTCGATACTATACCATTTTGAACTCTAGCCCGTTTAAAATGTTCATACATTAAAATGATTTTTGAGCTCCCATGAACCTATAACACATTCTAAATGCCAAGTTGCAAATTGTACAAAACTTGAATATGCGAATCCTTTACTTGCCGGTCAATGGATTTTAGACTTATACAGTTTGGCCAAATCCTTTCATCTGTCGCCTTCTACAATCGCCTAGATTATTTCGCTTCTCGACTACTGACAGTTTTGTGTTGCTCCTAAATTCCGGGAAACAACACATTACTAAGTTTTATTTTGTTTGTAAAATGTCTTGAGCATAAAAATTATCACTTATCATAAACGACTGCAACTGTCTTACACTTCTTTTAAAATTACTTTGGTGACCCAAATTTTAGTAAGCCTGCTCAAATATGCTTACGCATTCCTTTTAGTTTGAGAATGAGCTGTGAATAATCTTGAGCTCCAAATCGATGCCTCACTAATATAATTGCTTAAATAATTACCCCACTGACCCTGCTTTGAGTGGTGTCCGCTCCCATTCCATGTTTAGCAAATGAGAATGCGAATTTACGTCTCGCTTGTCAGCAGACAGCAATCGAATTTGAAAAAAAGGGGGACCGATAAAATCATGTCATCATAAGCTTAATAACTATTTTCCAGCATGAAAACCTGTTTGTTATGAATAGCGAATTTTGTCATCATATATAGAATCTTTATGTGCAACTAACTGACAAAAGCTCAGCAATATCAGCGATGAAGTCTATTTGTTAACCGAAAACACAGAAGGAAAAATCAAACTGCAATTCCCGAATTATCATTAAATCAGCTCATATAAGATCGCTGATTGATAAACGATGTGGCAATCCTACGAATCTCCTCAAAGCGCTTATAATCAGAAAATTTTCAATTTGATCCCCTGTCTATTTAACATGCAAGTGCAAATATAAGCAACTTTAATAGTGACCAACAAGTACTTTTACAATTGTCTATGAGGGCGAATAAATGTTAAACAATTGAAACATCAGACAGTGGAAGCAATCACTCGACAGTGTTCATGTTGAGCGCGAGCATTCGCAGGATTGGTGTGGAAAGTACGGAGTACTGGCAAAGCAGAATCTTGACCTAGTAGCTGCCCACAGTTCATGCAGGGCTCTGTAAAGAGTCGCACGTAAGTTTGGAGCCAGTCGCAGAATTGATGAAGTGCCGAAACCTGAGTGGGTGGTTCCGTGGTGGTGGAAAAGTGGACCAAGGCAATTCTTGCCGCCTCTGTCACTCGAACAAATGTCACATGGCGACTAGGCGTCGTGAGGTCAAGTTGGCTTACTGTAGGCAGTCGATGATCTGATGGTGGAAGATGACGATTCTGAAACCCAAAGGAGTAATCAATTGTCTTAACAGTATATCAATCGATTCACTGTACCCTTAGGATTAATTGTTGGTAGCTGAAGGGGGCATTATGAGGAAGATCGTAAGATGAACATGCGTCAGTAATCTACTATGAGTCCGATAATGTACCAATTAACTGGAACCTCTCGGCTCCGAAAAACTCACCCATGTTAAATCATAATTGCCAAGTGAAAAACAACGGTTTGGCCTTAATATAAAAGTAATTATCAAAATCACTAAGAAGGCGAGAAGTGGAATATAACTAAATAGGCGTTGTTTACATTATCGTAAACGAAGGGCTGATAAATTACCGCAAATCCGAATATTTTCTCAAGGATTAGATAAAGTTAGGCAGCACTCAGAAGAGACCGCTGGGCGAAGAAAAATATACTGCGCAAAAGCTAGGCCTTTGGCCAAAAGCAAACTACTTTATGAAAGTAAAATCCCACAACGCAATTATTTGCAGAAATGAGCCAAATTGTGGAGAATTTAGTTCATACTCATTTCTCCAGGCGAATACTGTTAAAATTTATCTACTGGTTAATAATGCGCGCGCAAACTACGGAAAACTGATTTCGAGTTTAAATGACTTCTTACATTGTCAAAATTCGGCAGTAAGAAAGTGGCGAACTCGTTAACTGCTGCAGAGCAGAGGAGATCGGACATGGCTTGAGAGAAGCCCTGGGATACAGCGGCCGTGGTACGAGACCGTGCGGTATATTCGGGCACACAATGTGACTCATCAAGTCCACGCACAATGATGTTCTCCATAAAGAGGTTGCCAAAGGTAATTAGGCAGTGCATAACCTCTCCGACCTATGTATAAAATTAAAGTCACGTTTAGGGTTTTTGCGCTTGTTTGCTTTAATTTGAAAAAAATTCAGCCAATACCTTACCTTTACATAAAGAATAGGATTTCGAGTATTTGAGTCAAGGAGAGCGAAGCTCATTTGCGGTGCTGCCAAGTTCTTCAAATCAGAAGCCGAGGACAGGGGCACAAGAATTGTATTTCTAAAAACAATTGACACTGGAATAGTAAACCTAGAAGAATGATTGAAAAACTCGCAAATCAAATAATTTGGTCGGAAATTACAACGGATGAACACATACCTCAAAAAACGACCGCAACTGGCCAGACTGAGCTGGATTGCTTCTGTTCGATAGTTTGCCCTCCGTAACCAACGATAAGCCTCATTTCGGCCAACCAACCAGTCAACGCGTCTCAGTGAATCACTATTATCCAGCTGAACGTCCAATTGGTCGAGAGAAGGAGCAAGATTGAGAGACGCAAGAGAACGATTCTCCAATAATTTCCTTAACTTCATTGTCATTTTGTCCAGATTATCAACAGACGCCCTAAATTGAGGTAGCAATAAATAACAGGTATTTCAACGAGGATAACTTGTTCCTAAGTTGATAGGGGTCGTTAACTAAGAGGACTATAAGGCAGTGTAAACAGCACTACAAGTTAACGCTAACAAAAATGATAGCCCATATGTTTTTTATACATGCAGCCTGTTACCTGTTTGGCCCTTGTAGAGCGCAAACGATCCAACTACTTTCATTATTTAAAAAACAATTTCATTGGCCCCAATTTCGGTCAATTAGTTGGATTATTTCTGATATAACAAAGTGATGCTGGTCGAAAACTTACTTAACTTTTCGGATAGACTTTGCCATCGCATTAACTTCGATCCCCTGGTCCGATAGCTTGCGTTCTTCATCCCCTTCAACATCTGATTCAACGCCTGGCTTATCAAGAAGACTGACCAATAGCAAGCGTAGTCGGCGGATTTCTTTTATATTGGAAGCAGCCCACCTTGAAATATGTTCATGGGTGCGTGAAGTGTCTATCCGCTGATGAAGAGCCTGTAATAAGAAGTCTAAGGCGCAAGTTTCATGCGATGGTGCTGGGAATGAATATTCTAGAAACCCAGGAAAAAATTAATACAATTTTATTCTGGAAGACACTGGAAACACAATGACCATCTGGAGGCCAAAGAAAAGCAAGGTATAACATGATAATTAAACTAAAGGATGGTAAAAGAAAGAAATCATTGCACTGAATCACATGTCTGTGCGACACATTAGCGCGGCGGTAAGCTCCTCCGTGAAAGCGATGGACTTGGGTGGATCCAAAGAACCGTCTACACGAAGGCTCTGGAGTATCCGTTTAATTTGCATTGGAAATACCGCTTTAAGTTTTGCGAAGACTCCACTATCGACATCCTAAAGGAGATGACGTCGGAGTAAAAAAAAGAGACCTGTTTTACGGATACTGATCGCTGTCGCTTTGATGTCACTAAACACCAATTTCATCGGAAGGTAACTGCTTCTTAAAAATATAAAATAAGATTCATTATCAACAGTCTGTAACCTTTTAAGGTTTCGGTTTGTAAATAAATGGAGGCTTGTACAGGATTCCCCAATTAGTTATTTTAATGGTCCATCGTTTAGGCCAATATAATCCTCCCACCTGAATGATTTGAATAAAATCTGGATGGTTGAAAATAAACATAGCTTGACGGAGTTCTATGGAATCGCATAGGCAGCACGAATTAGTGATCTATTGAAAAATCCAGTGCACAAGTGAATCAGCATTACAAAAGGGCAGAAAATCCTACAGTTTAAAGTATCTGCTTGAAGGTCTTTCAGTGATCTGTTTTCCTGGTTCGAAGGACCTCAAATTTCCCCGTAACACTTAAAAAAGCTATATGGTACAGCCAGTGAATTACTGAAAATAAATAGCGGAACAATTTCCGCAAGGCTTTCTGAATTCGGCAGCCACATTTTGGTGAGTCGTTTTGGTAGATTCAAAAGGCATGTTTAAGGTTAAGGTGAACCCAGGTGAAGGTTAAGTATTTTGAGTAAATACATTCGCATACATTTTAAATGCATACGGCAGGTACACTAAAAACACAGCTGATTTCACACTAGTTTAAAGCCTACAGCACAATAAAATAACCGTTTAAATGAAATATGGACTGCCTTACTTCGATCAAACAACCAATGTTCCCAACATGAGATTGATTAATGTTGGCAGAAAGTTTCAAGTCATCGGATAAATTTCGGTGATCGTAAAAGCTGAAACAAATGTCACTTAGCCCGTTGGTTTGATACTGATCTCCCTTCAGTTTTATTGAATAGGCGGCTGAAAGACAATAGCTGGCCATTCGAATAACCGGCTTCTCCTACAAAGAGAAAGCAAAATCCTGGGTAAAATGGAGATCAATTATTCCTGTCACGTAGATTTTTCATACGGTGATTGTTCCAGACCGCAATAAGAACTTCTGCCTTCAATTCTTCTAGTTTGGTGGTACACTCACCTACGCCTAACATCGAATATCCTACTAGAGGTAGTTACCATTCACGGGGTTAGAATGTGAGGCAAGCAAACACTAAGACAGATTGTTAAACAAAGACTGCTTTAAGTTCCCATAGCTCCGAAGGCAGAAATGAGGGAGACGAAATTCACCCACAGAGCGGACTACGTTGGGCCAAGGTTATACCGATTGGCTGACTGGTACGTAAATTTCAAGTTTAAAACTCCAGTTGGCAAATTCACTGCGTGTGAATTACAATATGAATCTATGGTAAATATTTCCAGAAAATAAATGGGAGACACCCATTTGCCTTAAAATAAAGCTGCTGAATGCATACAGAAAAAAACGTACACTGATATCAATCAAGTAGACAATTTCAACCAATGGAGATTTGACTAAAGCACACACCAGGACACCACCTTTTTTCCCAAGGCAGTAGACGGAAGTAGTTGTATAGGCAGGATAATAGCTATAAAAATCATTAGAACGTCAAAACCTTACTTTTAATAAAAAAAATTATTTTTTAGCCAAGCTACAGTGGAAATAGTTGCAAATGATTGCAATGACAAGAAACGGCGGTTTAATTAAATGACGTGATATCTTTGGTCGGATAAACATTAATTCAGTAATGTGGGCGTAGAGGAATCCATTAAAATAACAGGGTCTCACTTACTACGAAACATCGACTAAGCAGAATAGGTAATATGTATTTCATGATATAAAGTATAGTAGAGGATATACTGTCTCAAGACAAATGCTGACAAACCAATATTTACGAAATTTATAAGATGCATGAGGAATTAAAAATCAAAAGACTTACGACTTAACATAGTGCAAAAAGGCTGTATTGAGTAACTTCTCAAGGTTTCTATGCTGGTGGTTGGGCATGGGGGCATCGGGCACAGGAGGATAAAAAGCATTTGTCCAGGGGGACCTGGTAGATCCCATAAACCGATTCGCTGCACAGCATATATACTCCTGGTTCTTTAAAAATAAAACGTTATTTAAATGATCCAATACAGCACCAACGCCACAAAAACCATGTGAGTGAAGGTATTATTAATATAAAATTGGTCAAACTCTTAAAACACGCAAATAAAAATTAGTGTAGTGGTTTTTTTGGCAGTTACAACCACTTCGACGTGGTTTTAACAGACAAATTTGAGGGCTTTAGAGATATAAAGAAATGGAATTAATGCCTTAAATCAAGAAAACGTAACAAAAGGTGGGAGAGAAATGGATTAGCTAGAAACTGGTACAAAAAGGGAATACCAGAAATAACTTAAAACTGAAGATGAGTTCAGAAAAAGGTAATATTTATTTGGCTGGAATTATCTAGATGCCATTGCCTGTTGCTTATACTTAATGTTGTCAAAATAAGTGACAGGAAAATATGAACCTGCAAGAATTTGGCTTGAAAACTTATGAAAGTTCTACAGAACCATCAATAATTTTGTTGTCCAAAAGAATTGAGCGGATAAGCTTTGTAGCCATTTTAATCAATCATTTATCCTCTTTTCGCGTTAACATATACAAGCACCGATTAAAAGGATCCTGTCGGTTTTGTGCACATGGAAGGGGCTTGACGGCGATATTAGATAGTGTGGAGCCACCACATAGGGTGAATGCGAAGTCGTTTGACATGTTACGAAGTGGAAGAAGAGATGGAGCATGTAAGCGGAGCCAAGGGTAGTGATGCCAGATTTCAGAATCAAATCTCAACACCCAAACGTGAACACAGAATAAAGAGGAGTCTGAGGACGCAAGAGGAATAATTGGAAAATATATACTAAATAGACTTTGGACGCGTTTCACTAAAAGACCATATTGACATAAAGCAACAAGAAAGATGCTTTTATCAAATTGCAGTAAAAATTAATTTAGCATTTTATCTGACGCTATTTATGCTTAGAAGTGTGATGCAAAAATTTGGGATAAAAGGGATAGATTAAAATACCCAAACAAATTTAATGGAGCTATAATTACATTTAAAGTCAATAATTATGACGAGCGATTTGTGACGAGGCATATATGTTTTGACAGTGTTGTACATAGTAATGACCGAAGATTTCGTCTATAAAGGCCGTGCACTTCAAGAAAACGCGCAACCACTTTCCACGAGAGATACCTTGCATGCCACCAAAAGCAATAAAGATGGCTAAATATGAACAAAAAATATTCTTAAAATTTCGAGAATTGTGGAAAGGAAAGCATACACTTGAATCAAGTTCAATGATTAGTGGAAATAAGCGCTCTGGCGATTCAAACCCAAAAAGTTCTGGAAAGTGTTTATTCAACGCAGGAAAAAGTTGCATAAGATTTGCGGGTGGGATTCTGTAAAGCAATCCGCAGTTGCCCTAGAAAAGCAAAGAAAAATAAGACAAAAGTGGTACCGGTACTGAAAACAAAACACAAATATTCACATAGAAATCCAAGGATTGACAATGAATGTTATAATAAAAATAAGATTTTCTGGTCTAAATTAAAACTAACCAGAACGTCATCCCTCAAAGAGAGACAATCCATGTTTAACCAATTAAACGCGCCCTTCAGATTTAAATTTAGAGCTCAAAAAGAAAAGGCTTAAACTAATTAGATCAAGGTCTCCAATTGAGATTTTTGAACATTTGATTTATTATATAGATTTTTTTTGTTTGCAACAATAATTAGCTACAAGTCTTGATTAACATTTTTAAAATTATCTAGGATCTATTTTAAATAGGTTTTAAATTTGGGATGAATTTGAATAGCGCGACGAATACAGGACAATTTCCCTCTAATTTTTCTCGGCAATGAAATTTAATAAAATGGTCGGTGGAATGCGAACATTTTGATTTTGCCTTTTAGCTAATACAGATAAGTTTGAATATATCGCTTTTTCGCCTTATTTTCGTGAGTATGTATATATTTTTATTTATTATCCAACCCATCTATGTTAAGGTTTTGTGGTATTTGCGGTAAACGTTTAAATATTATTGTCAGATTTTATTAGTTTTATTTGGCACGAAGTGGACTATCTGCATCACCTAGTTACGTTTGCTCCCTGCATGGAATAATCCATTCCTTACCTTCCTTATATATATTTGCAAACTCAAAGAATAGTGATGAACTGAGGATAAATAGGATACAAAGTTCCAAGTTAGAGTCACGTGAATTGTGTACAATGAAGTATGAAGAGTTTCTGTCATGAGACCGAAAAGCATTGGTGCTTACCATAGGGGAGTTTTGGTTATTTCTGGTAAAAAACTGTCATCTTCCTTGTTGTTATCTAATGCGACAACACACATTTAAACTAAATTTATTAACATTTAGTGCGTTTAATTTAGACGTTGGTAAAAATTTAAAGGTAATGCTTTTAGATAAAGTAGATTGGTGGAAATAGTATTTTTGATAAATTAATACTTCATGATTGTCAAGGGAGAAATTTCACCACAGATAAAACACGAATCTTGATTCAGTGCCATGCTTTAAAACCTAACGCTGCTATTTTTTCTGCCTGATAAACAAAATCCAAACGACCTTATGAGTTTCGCAAACAAGTGCGTTGAAAAAAGTGATTAGTGATCCAAGCCAAACACTGTGTACTTTAAAAAAAGCATCAAACATCATAATCATTTGAGTAGCTTGCAGAATTTAAGCATGATTGTAAATTTGATGCCTTTTTAAGCAGCAAGCATTTTCATGAAAACTAATTCCAAACAAGTTTTCCAATGTGTTTTCACATCTGTGTATATTTTTACCAGTCATGTATACCGTTTTTGTAATTGGTAAGGGTAGCCGCGCAATAATTACGTCGACCCGCAATATTTGAACACCCAGAACTTTAACCTGTTAAGAATGAGTTCCCGGCTTGTTGGAACAGGCTTCTCATTTAATACGCTTATTTTTCCTGTTTAAATTGCTGGTCTTTTATGAAATTATCCTAACCTTAGGCTGGCTTCTGGAAGGTCTTAAAATTACCGTCCTTGTTTGTTTCGACAGAGAAGGTTACTCCAGTTCTAATTTATTTTTTATTCCATAAATTACGAAAAATTCGATTCGATGGAATCGCAACTTGAAAACCGAGTATATTTTAACTCGAGCCGTTGGTAATCATCATGTACAGTTTTTCGCATTTGTGTGATTGGGGATTGTCTGTGTAGATTAATATTGGCTTTTGAAATAACAGATTCGGCTTAAGTTTTTCCATAGTGAACGCCTTACTTTATCCTCTGATTTTCGTTAAAATATTTAGAAAACAAAATTAAAAGGAGTCACATTCCTTTTCGACGGATTCCAAAGATCACTCCAATCAGATGTGCAGTGTTGTTGTAGGAAGACATTGAGGTTTGCCAATCCCGGTAGTCGTCAAGACTCGACAAGGAATTAAGGGTTCAAATGGGTACTAAAATATCACAAGTAAGTAGCACACATTGAGGCCTCAAATATTTCCTAGCGATGCATACAAGCACGATACCAAGCACCTTATAATGATCTTCGCACATAGTTTTGAGCGTGAGGTCTAATGTTTTCCACTAGCTTTATTACAATTCCACTTAAATACAGTTTTTTTGAGTTAATAATACCTTAATCAAAGCCAAAATTGAGGGAAGATGGTCGAAATGATCAAACCATCCAAGCCGTCAAATCTCGTGAATTGCTCACCAGTTGCCTTGCTTAAAGAGACACATTTAAACATTGACGAGATCATTACAGCTTAACCTAAAGGCCTCTCTAACAAGTTCACCCGAACTCCGAGGAGTACAATTCTACTCCACCTTGATTAGACCACCTGTCACATAGTGAGGACTTAGTAAGCTGTTTGTGCGCATGAAAGTAAAAAAAAACTAGCAAATTAAAAGGTAAGTAACATTTGAGAAATTTTGCCTCTCACTAAGTTTGTATAAATGCTTTAGATACTATCATAATGTCAAATAAGTGATGAGATGAAACATGAGGTCATTGTAATCTCTAAGCAGAAAACATTCTAACATTAAAAAGTGATTTTTAAGTAGGTCTAATGTTTTTCGTTAATTAGAGATCATGGTTATTCATTTGTAGGTAATTTTTGATATCTGTGCATAGTGCTAGTGGCAGACAACCGGCTGTCATTAAATATTTGATTGGACAGCAGCATAAAGTGTAATGTTGGGCCTCTAACTTTCCTAACTCAAATCTTGGAATGGGGTTGGGTGTAGTTAAGCTTAGAACACCTATTCACCCACGATAATTCATTGAAATGCATTTACAAGAAAAGACAAACTGTGAAGCCCATGCAGATCAAGGTGCAGGTGAGGGGCTTGTGCTTCCGCTGAGATGAATTACGACTTGAAGCACGTTATTCATCACGTCGATAAAAGATCCCCTAGGGATAGAAATATCCGGTCTGATCTAATATTACTCCTCGTCTGATTTTTTAGGGACAAACTACATATCTGATTTTTGCGAGCTCGACTGGATTTACGCAGAGGATTTTTGCTTGAGCTAGACGTTTTTATGTAGTTGTTGGTCGAGCCGATAAGGGTACCTCTAGACGTAATCAAACAAGCACTACAATTCAATACTCGGGAACACTACGTGATAAATTTCCTCCCTGTACACAAGTCCGAAAATGATGTTACTCGTAAAATCGAGTGTATCACGCCGATGGCAAATAGTTGCACCAAGTGCATCAAGTTACTCCAAGCTCGCCCGAGTTCGCAGAACACCTTGTACGCCTTGCTTCAAAGTGAACTATTAACCTGTGAACGGTTCAACCAATTAGGAGCTCAGTGAAAAAAATGCAAAACAGGGCAATTTCTGCATGGATGAAACTACTTGGCTTCATGTCTCAATGTAAGTAGTAATGGTGCTTTGCTAGTGTTGCCTCCAACGTTTTACTTTTTAACCTGATTTGCTGAGAAGTGTACTGTTTTATCAAAATAAATCTTTGAGGACATTGCTATGGAAAACATACCTACCTAAAAATAACCACCTTTTAATTACATAGAGTTTGAAAGCGTGCTAACAATTAACTGATGCCAAAGTATCCTAGTCTGAGCTACGGATACTGAAAATCAAATACAACCATATTGTCCGAATCTCATAGTTTGTTTTTCAGCACCAAAACAATGATGCACACGAATTTGGTTGGAAAGAAAACAGTGCTGTGGGCCCCAGCATGGGGTCCTGAACCACGCCGGGACTACTGAATTAACTCTGGCTCGATTACGCTTCCCTGATGCCCGCGATGAAGAAAGGGGCCGGAGAGGACGTGGACACAACCGTTTACTTCAGAGCTCAACCACGTTGGTGTCGTGTGTGGGGTTCGTAGGTATGTATTTATTATCTCGGATGTGTGAGTCATACAGGCGCTAACATCGAGACCTAGGTGTGGGGATACTCCAAGATAAATATTAGTGCTAATGAGGGGGGAGTTGAGGATCCGCGCGGCTGGCGACATGCTTCAAAAAGGGGGACCCTGTGCTGGGGGCTGGAGTGATCGAATTAGCGATTGTGAAGTAACGCGAATCACAACAGCAGAATTTACTCCTAATGCTTTCCAAAGTATCGTATCTGTATCAACTTATAACAGAGAAGAAGTAGCTGCGCCTGTCAAATCACTACCCCAATAATTCATTATACTCAGAACCGACAAATAAACAACAAATATTTTCGGAAGGTTTATAGGCCACTTATCGTATTTGACACTGCTAACCACTGGCCAGGGCGATTTACTATGATGGTATTCCTCTTTGTGCACTATTTTTGTTCACAACTGAAAGATTTCATACAAACTAAATCTTAGGTTAAGCACTCAGATTAAATAGGGAATGTTCGAAACGCTTCCACAAATGTTGCCTTCGTTAACCACTTAGTGCATAAAACACAGAGATGGCGAATGCATGACCATTCAGCTGTTACAGATCACGTGCGCTTTTTGACAACATGTAGTAAAAATTCAATCTAATTATTTAAAAATTTTGGGCTGTAAATTGACTTCCTGGCAGACATTCTCAGTGCTCAAAAACAGAGGCAGATTTTTCACAAGAGCAAGTTAAAACTGTTAAAATTGTTTTGTATTTAGATCATCACTAAAGACAGTGGACTTTAAAGTTCACTTTGAATTTGGAATTATTTGCAACAGGCGGTGGTGATTGCAAAAGAAAACTTTGAGGAATAACCTTAATCAATACCAAATCTGGAGCATGTGATTGTTTTCTGGAAAAGAATCTGAGTTTCAAGGTGGAGGCGAGTCTTACATCTGCCACACGTCCACAAGCCATTGAAGGAAGAGCTGCTTAGATACGTTCAGTCTGCTTCTTATTGTATTATCAGGGTAAAAAATTAGTTTGCACAATGCTATTTCTGTAAGTCCTTGTTCACCGCTCTAGTTACTGTGATCTACACAAGTACAACTTAGAATGCACCGTATTGTCAAATCTAAGACCATGGTATTACTTGCTAAAGATTTGTAATTTTGATTCCTAAATTTACCTACATTTTCCAAAATTAGAGTATATTTAAGAAATTCAAAGACGAAAGTCAATAAACTCGACGAAAATTTGAAATCTGGTGGTCACATTCAACATTACTCAAGTGTGTTTTTTCATTTTTTAACAGAAACACCCGTTTAACTTGTCAGTCTTGAAGACTTGATAATTGGCAGGCACATAGTTTAGACAAAATAGACTTTGAATTTGCGCATTGTTATTGCGTTTTCCAGTAACCAGAAAAACGCAGGCCTCAACTTCTTGGTACGAAGACAAAGACAAGACTTCCGGATGAAAGTTTCGAACACTTCCAGCTGAAAGCCGAGTAGCACTTGTATTTGAAACTTGGCGACCTTGCGAATGATGAAAACATTAAATACTGGGACAGTGTAGTTTTTGATTTGTACATAAAAATAGTTTATAAAGGAATTTTGACTTTTCTTACAATTGAACGTTTTATTAATGTTTTGTGCATCTGCAAAACTCGTAAATAAAGCAAATTGGCTGCATGAAAACCTTGATCAGAATTTATATCTACAAATAACAGAACTTATTAGGATGAATTACGGAAAAAGTTATTACTAGGTAAATTAAACTGCTTTCAGTAGAACACAAGAATGTTACTTTAAGTAGATTTACTATTCATAACTTTGGTTGTAAAAGTGTTCAGTTACATCTAAATAAAAACGGACAAAATTCCGAAAGTCATGAGATAGGTCTTTAACATGAAACGAAGGAACGAACGTAAGAAGCTCAACTGGCTTTTGTCGATCAATGCAAGGATTAAAGTGTTTGGAATTTATTTCTCTTTATAAGTCTGATGAGCGACCAAACTTTAAAACGCATTTTTCATACATTTGCCAGTAGTTATGTATATTTGTTATTATCTTTTGACTTGCAGTCCTAGGATAGTATGCTATTTGCATCATGAGAAAAAGTGCAGTATTTTAGTAATTTAGTCGTCCACTTTAAGAGATTTTATTAGAGAAAGTCAGTCTACTTCACGAAGCTTTTACCTTACACAGTCTTTGCCAAGCAGACAGTACATTCTTTGGAAATTTTGGGCATTTGCCAAAATATTTGGATCAAATTTTTTGTTTTCCTATTGATGAATTAGGGATAAATTTAGCTAATTATGAGCGTTTGCTTACGATACAATAGAAACAAGCATGACGCAGCCTGAGTTATTTACTATTTTTCCTAGAATGATGCTACAGTGTGATTACGGCCTCCATTTTAGCTCAAATTTCTGCAAACACAAAACAGTAATTGGTTTATCAATACATCTTGATGAATGACGAGGTTGCTGTGAACTTAAGTGGGTTATGAACGGTTGTGAAACCATTATTCACTACAAAATTATGCCAATTTCAAATCAAATGCATCCACACCGCAAGTTAAGTGTACTTAGTTAATCATCAAGGCGGATTTTACGCAGGGAAGTCGTGGGTTTTCTCAGCATTTTATTCAGACGCCCCTGAATGAAGACTACTGACGTGTGTGGAAGTGAAGACCGAATTGTATTAACCAAACGCAGTTTTGAAGAAGTTCCTGTTGCTTATTCATTATCATTAAATTGCGTTAAATTCTTACTCTTTAAACAACTAATTTTAAATCTGGTTTTGGTTTTTTGGCCTGAATCTGTTTGGATTAGAATCACGCTACAATTGTGCCCTCGAAAAACCACCGTCTTTGTACACATACTTAATCTAGATAAGTAAACTAGTTTTTGACAAGTTACCAACTAATATGAAGTCAAATCTTAAAATTACCGAAAATTCATTAAAGGAAACGTGTTCACCTTTTAGTTACGGTCCTGTTTGTTTATCTTTTGAGCTTCCAGTGATAACCTAGAAAAGGGTTTTTTCCTCACAAAATACATTAACTGTTGCCCAAAATTAAACCCAATGACGGTTACAATTTCGATGAGCAACGTTTGCACCAAAAGCTACTTAAATGCTAAAGTTGAAAAGTGTCAGAATTTTGACAATGTGATAGGCTGCCTGAATTTGAAACGCAAACATTGGATAACACAATCACCCAGTAATTTTTGAGGCCCACACCATCAGACTAGTGTTGCTTATGGGTCTTATAGGTGTCATTGCCAACCTGCTGCCTATTTTCTGTTGGGCCGCCATCCATCTCGCAATATGTTGCAGGACGTTAAACCTGTTTTTTGGTCTCAGAGTATTTTTCCATATTGTTTAACTGTCTGTTCCTTTTGCAAATACCGCACCGAATTCAGTAATAAAATCACACACGAATAAAACAAAATCCTCGCAGCCTTCATTATAGAGCTCAACTTCATTTCAACCCTGATCAAAGACATTCGAAGGACAAATTTTCTTATGGACATTGCTTGCAGTGGTGAAGGCGAATTGCCCTCAAGGTATGTGATAGCTACTAGTTTCTCGAGGAAGTGTGACATTTTAACGACAGGTGACTGATACTGCGGACTGAAAGAGTGGGTTGACGCATGCTTTAAGATAATTCACAACTTAGCATATGAGAACAGGTGTTCGTGTATCAGTGATATCAATTCTTATGCGATCTTTTTACGGTGAAATTCTCTCTTGTTCGCTACATTCCTTAATTTCCTACACCGAACCTAATTTGCTCCTCAAGTTATTTGGTAAGTTAAAACTTTTATTTACTTAAATTGAAGAACTTTTCTCGGAAACCAGCCAATCAGACAGGAAAGAAAACTAGCAAATCGTAACAATAAAAATATGTTGCCTTTGTAATTTCATTTGATTCACTGTTTGCTTGAACACACGCATGACAATTCCATGTGAATAAATTGACATTTTTTTTGTAGTTGAGTTGTAAAGCGCATAGTTTATGACAAAATTTTAACCACATATTTTAGACCTTGCAATACCGCACATCAGAATAAAATTTCAAGCTCTACCGCAAATTGGTATCAGAAATGACATGGAACACATTCACAACAAATAAGTACTAAAACGATTTTCTCAAACTGAAGTTGTGAGAGGATCTATTTTCCTTTAAAGAACAGGAATTTCATAATCGTTAGCACATGCACCTGCAATAATTCGTTTGTGTGACTGCGTTGACGCTGCAAGATAAATGAAACGACCAAGTTACTTGATAACCGGAAACCCGTTACATTTCACCCCGCTTTTGTAAAAAAATACCACTAAGTTGCCATGTCATTTGAATGTAGATGCCTGAGAGTGATTATTGGGCTTTTGAAAACATCGACTAGCATAAGCTGAGTAATTTGCACCCAGTAACCTGTGAATATCGTCAAGTCACAAGCGTTCGCCGCCAATCCACTACAAACCTTTCGACCAGGTAAATGCACCGTAAAGTTTCCGTGATATAGAGGGCCACAGGAGTGAGGACAAAAAGACTTGTCAGTTCGGACAGTGCAGAGGATGGTAACAACCGTCGGATTTAAGCAATTTTACTACGGAAGCACCTCACTTACACTCTCTGTTCGGTTCAGCTGATACCTTCAAGGAATTTTGCCTGAAATTAATAATCATGTAAATGAAGGTTACATCGCTTTGATCCCAATACAAATACTAATAACGCGCGAGAAGACAAACAAGAACTAAATCGAGGCAGCAGAAGTTACTTTAAGTATTTAAAGTCTCTTAACCCCATAAACCTTTCTTTGGACTTAAATTGTTTGTTTCTCTACGGGTTTGCCATTACATTTTTGACTTAAACAAGTAGACCTCCACTTTTTAACTTTATATTGAAAATGGGGTAACCTTCACAAAATAATTTAAATGTATCTAGCCAAATGAAGAGTGATAGTGTGCCATTTTAATGAATGTTAGGTGATTATAATAACCTATTTTAGTGTACAGATAAACTAAAATGATTACAAGTGTCGGAAAACTTAAAAATGTTTAGCAAATTTTTCTGATTTTTTTCTGGCTAAGTTCAGATTTCTTTTGTTTGCATGTACACCAAGGCAAATAAATGCGTATTTAAAGTGTACCAAAGCCAGTATTTAAGCTCGTAAAGTTAAAATTTTAAATTTGATTTTAGCCTTGTGGATTACAAATTATGCGGTTTTACCAACTTTAGGTTCGACTTAACCACTTGTTGCCGAGTAAACCAATTCTTAAGCAGTATAGTTTAATCGTTACAAAGTGTTTTTCACTTATGAAGAGAGCAAACTAAGGATTGAATTGAGTTCGACCCCGGTGCTGCGCTCAGACGGTCAGCTTGTAAGGTGATAACGGTGCTGAGGACGAAATTGCGGTCAGCGAAGTAGCAGTTGAATGTCAGCATCCACACAGGTGATGCCCCGCGCAGGGCACTTCTTAAGCCACGAGGTCCAGGTGGTGTCAGCGCCACACCACCGACTGGCGCGCCAGCGGACAGGCGAAGTGACTGGCTGACCGGAAATGACAGACGCGTGCACGAACGGAGAACCCAGCCGCCACGCATTAGTTTAGTTATAAACAGGCACCACCTCGAAGGCGTTGGCTTGGTTGTGAATTGAGAGTTCGAAGGCGTCATTAGACTGAGTGATTGCATTATCGCGGCTGCGGCTTTGAACAGAATTCTTACCAGACAATTAGCAGTTAAAAATATAAAAAAAAGGAATGTTGTAAACGTGAATGTTTGTCTGGAGTACTCAGCGCAGTATAAACGTTCAAGAAATCAACTAAAGTACTTAGAGGTTTAAGCAAGATTTCATGGGTTGACCTTAATTACACATACACTATACCTCAAATTTGGTTAAAGTGATAATATGGGAAAATTACTCGGTTGAAATATATTAAGATTTTTCCGAAACGCATAAACCATAAACGAGAAAGGGTGGGTCGCATTTCCTGTAAACACGCTCTTGAAAAATCACTTATAGGTGTGTGAATTAAAAAAAATTTGTCAACTTTACAGTTTTGATGACCTTAGGTCATTATTAAACACTTCATGTCTCCTTTCACAGTGTTACCGATATGAAGAATGTACGATCATTTTTTCGTTCGAATGGGACATTGTTTAGTCGCTGCAATGTTTGTCAGCTGAAAACAAAATCTTTATGGCTAAAAAAGTTTGAAAGTAACAAATTAGTACGTGATGTGTTTGCATTACCCAAAACTTGACCAAAGTAGAGAAGTACTTTTTCTAAATCTCATCAAAAGTCTTGATTTCAACATGGTTGAAAATACGGACAGAATCCGAAATCCCAATTTTTCGCCCTCCTGTCTGCCTTTTTCAAGTATGTCTTTTGTCACAGACATTTGTCCTACAGGAGCAACTTGGAAAAATCTTGTCGTCATGTCCTGGAGATTGTACCATGTTGCTGAGAAAACATTTATTTTAGTGACTATAAAGGTTCATTTTCAACAACATTAAAATTAACGCTAAAAGGACCGCTACCATAAATGGAGCTACCGCTACAGTGAACATTAAAAATCAAAAATTTTAAATCTTGCATTTTTTTCTCGCACCATATTAAAACTATTCCTGGACTTGCAGTTCAATTAAACTCATAATCTCAGTAGGATCTCGATTTTTAAGCTTATAATGTAGCATCGTTCGTGGTGCGTAGAAATATGCATATTTGAAATTAAAAATCTGGACAGAGCCATAGCCGAAGTGTTTTGCCAGCGAATTTAGGCAGCATGGTAAATGAATGAGCGCTTTAAAACCAATTTTCGGGATTTTGAAAGTGATGTCAAATCTCAAATCAGAAATAATCTGCATATTTTACTCCTTGCCTAGCGCAAAAATCCACATGGTTTCTTTAAACCTACTGTATGAGTTCAAAAGGCCTCTGAATTTAGTTGTCATGATACATCAGATAGGGTTTTAAGCTAGATTGCTGAGAAATATTTGCATAACTGTCATCAGTTCTACAAAAGGTGTGGAAAAGTTCGAAACACGTCAAATATGTGTGCCCCGTCATTTTGACTCAAACCACGCCGAGGCCTTTGCGTTGAATCTACCACGATTGCATTATCTTAATGCCCGAGAAGAGGAAGAAGACCGTTTAATTGGTAGGTCTACAAAGTTGTGCCTGGCGTGACACTGTAGGGCACGTCTGATACGATTCAAGTGAGCTAGTTAACCTGCAGGAGTCTAAATGGTCAGACGGGCTAAGCGGGTGGTGGTGGTCAATGCACGGGAAAAATGAGCTGACAGCCAGCATGGCTGATGTGGACGCCGTACAAAGGGGGACGGACATGTATGTTAACGGGGGCAAATCATCAAGGTTCACCACAGGAGCATTTTCGAAGACTTGATTACGTCTGCGTGCAAGTTTCAACTTCAGAGCACTCCTGTTATTAAAAATATTATTGGTGTTAGGAGCAATACCCACATTGAGCAATGAATTGGAAGTTGTTAGAATGCTGAAATATTTTTTTAAAATAAATCAACGGCTATTTCTGCGTCCCTGCTTTTTCCACCAACATCGTCTGAAAGGATCAACCCGCTAGTACTGAAAAAAGTCAGCAAACACGCAAACAGAAATTAGATAATGAAGTAATTTAAATTTTTTTGATGATATCACCAAAACCACGTATGGGTCTAGAGGGAACAAAAACGCCACAATAAACCACATTAGGGGAAAATTATTCTATTCTATTAAATTCAGACTGTGTATGCTAGAAAAGCACCTCAGGTTAAACGATTTTCTTTGAGCTGATGAAGCAGATTCGGTCTGTAACTTTTTTGCCAGGTTAAAATTTAATAATACCGTGAAAGGGAGCTTAATTTTCCGATATGACTAGAAAGAAGCTGTTGTAAAAATAATTTAGCCCATTGAGATATCGTCCTATATCAAAAGGAATGTGTATTAAAGTTTAACTTATTGTATAGGCACTGCATTACATACGACTTGAAAAGCATGAAAATTAGCACAGGCTGGTAGAAATCTTCATGACTATTTCGAAAACAATAAATGCAGACAAGGTGCCACATTTGTGCTTGGCGAAGCGCTTAAGCCCAGTTTATAAGTTGGTTTTCGAAGGAATTTCATATGACCAAGTCTATTTTTGGAGACACAAACGATGTAGTTGCAAAGGTCGACATTGCGGTATTGCAGGTTTAGAAATAAAGTGGCGGTCAAAGTGGGTGCAATTGCATCGCTGCTCTGTTTGTACATAAGGCTAATAAATTGCCATTCTGGACACCAATTCGCTTTCAGAATCATTAGCCTTGAAACAATTTGTTTCCTACACACACCATTTCCTTAAGAAAATACATTCTTCACCTACCTTCGCCCTTAAGATTACACCCAAGTTTTATACATCTATTTGTTTTGACGTTTAATTCAAGTTGTCTTCTCGGACATTTGATATTTTACTGACAACTTACTGTTTAATTTTACACAACAGATAACGTCAAAATACAGGCTATAGATTTGTCATCCCAAACAAAATATTTAAGCATTGCCGGTATTTCGATTCAAACTTACTAAACGGCCTTACTACAAGTTCTCCTATGGCTATCTTAATCGGACCTTGAAGATTCGTTAATATTAATTTCTCACAACTGCTTACGGCTACCTTGTCTCCTTCGGAGAATAATAGCAAGGCAGTACAATGCAAACTTGACTAGACTATTAGGCATGCAGATGCATACTCCACTTATTGACAATTACTTTCAATATGAGCTTTTTGCAAATGTATTAGAACAATAAACCTGGTCCCTAGTAGGTGCTAAGATTTGGCATGGGAGTAATAGACCAGACGTTTCTAGTTATGACAAAATTTGCTTCTTAATGTTACATTCAACAAGCTGTACATGTTGTTTTCTATGAAAAACAAACATTGTTTTAAATATACATGGTGGGATGCTTTGAGCATTCACTTATTTACAGTATACAGCGCAGAAATTTGATTTATGCGCAAACTATGTTGTGTAGGCTTCAAATCTTCTATTAATCAGTGCTAGTTCCACCCAAGTTCCTATCACACTTTCAAAAAACAATACGTTATATCTAATTTAGGTACAAGACAAAAGTTATTGCAAACCCGTTTTTACCTTTTATTGAAAACCGCCGAAGTCCGAAATAATTACAAAGAACATACAAATGTGGGTTGTTAATTATTTAGTAAACGCTTGATTTATAAGTAGGTTTTTTTGGTGGATGGTTAAGTAAACCTCTTTTCGGGGAGTGGCTAGACAAACAACATAGATTTTGTATACGTAGCCCATTTTGCACTAACTACCGTGATGACACATCTTCTAAAATGCGTGTACTCTCCGGTTAAAATGATTCCTCTGTTTGGTCAGCCAGTAGGCATTTCAGTTACGCAAAACGCATAACTGATTAACATCAAAGAGCGTGTCGACTGCACCTAAACGATGAATTGCAAGTAAAAGCCATTTTGTCAAGTTTTAACTGTTAAAAGTGGTAACAAAACCCAAACATTGTCTTCTTTCATTTAAATACTATTCAATAGAATTCAGTTAGATGTGTATTAATTGGGATAGTTTGCCTACTTGTATCTGATATTTAACAGGATAAGGTACCTTAAAATTGATCGTGCAGGTAGCTAAAGGTATTAGGTAAACCGCACTGGTTGCATTGTCCTCCTGAGCTCGATGGACAACACCTTTGATCTTAATGGATGGTGAAGGTGAGGTGATTAGAATGTAAATGTAAGTGTTTTACCTTCTAATGCTGATGTGCTTAATCAAATAAGTAATTGTTGACAATTATTATTAGTTTGGAAAATAACATGGGTGTATCAAAGTTTTATTGAAGGGAATATGGATAAACAGGCGATTTTATGGCAGGCAATCTTCTACAGGGCGTTTTAGTAAAAAGGCAAATCAAGAAGAAATCAAACTTTAATATGAAATAAACCATCACGCGACTTCGTTTAACAGCCACTGTGACTGCCCTAAAAGAAAAAAATTACTGTGGTCTTGTGGCATTAACGAAGAGAGTTCACATTCAGGGGCATTACCTCAAATTATTCACTCAGTAGCCTGTCTCCACGTGGGCCGCTTTAAAATGGTAAAATATAAAACAGAGTCGAACATTGTATTTACGTGATATACTTACTGGAGATCCTTAATTATGATCCTGAATTAGGCACAAACTAATACTATTTCGCTACAGTTCTCAATCAAGTCCAACAAGGAGGGAATTACTAATATGCAGGTGTGCAATCAATGTCTAGGCAGTTTCGTTGTAGCGCGTTAGCTTGCTGGACGAATAGACACTCGTTGCATCGAAATCGCATGGGACGAAGGTTCACTCTGTAAAAGGCTAGTAATCAAAAGAATCCAATATGTACACAAGTCTAAAATCAAACTGTCCCTCATTACCTGTTGCAAGGGATTTTAAGAATACTACTGTACTTTTTAAGTTTACAGCATTTGACGTGCATTTGAGAAAAGGTTAAGTCCACTGTTTTGACATTGACCAATAAGCACGTGAAATCGAACATTGCTACATCTCATTGCACTCAGGTATAATGCAT